TGGAAACAAAAATTCTGATTACAGATTAAGATTTTTCAAACCGTTCTAATGTTTTTTAATCATTTTGAGCAAAGGTGAAATTATGTACTAAATTTTTTAAGGCTTTCATAGGCCTAAAAATTATTGAAGAAACCATCTTCTTTGTTAGTTTTTTTTTGCTTTTTTTTTCAACTGTAGAATTGTTTAAAAAAATAATTTGTTCCAAAAAAATCTATATAAATTTAGTAATTAGTTTTTAACTCTACTCGATGTGATTTTATAATTTTAATGTGGATTATAAATCATTAGAACGGTTAAAAAAAATTTATTGATCAAAACAAATGGAAATCCCGTATTATTTAAATGGGAAATCGAAATTTATCCAACGGCACGTATTAATTTCATTTTTATTTAGATTTTATAGGTAGTCCTTTTATTTTAGGTTGCAATAAAGAGATTTCAATGGGTAAATGACTAAAAAAGTAAAATTTGGGAAATAACGCACACACCCCTGTCCATACATGCTGTACTTTTTGGTAATGCTTGTTACATTTGCACGTAAAATCTCTTTTTGAATTTAGCTAGTTGTTGTTAAAAAATTTTCGAAACAATTTATCGACTATACGTTATATACCCCGTCAGATCACAACAGTCCAGATCACCATAGTATACAATACGAGTATGTTGGAATAATTGATGTATATCAAATAACTTTGATTAAATCAAATTTTGTCAAGACCCAGAGTGGAGTTTTCCCACATCCGACAAGTTGAGAATTTTGTCAAACGTTATCGGTAAAGTTTCGTTAAAATTTCGACTCTACAATAAAATCGAATATTTCCGTGTATGGTTTCTTTTCTACAAACTTCTTATTACTATATATAGTATAAAAGTTCGGTTACTGTGTATAAACACTTTGTATTCAATACATACTAATTTCTACTTATAAAAGTATACCAACGTACTTTTCGATGAACAGGTAAAATGGCCGCCCGCGAATTTGCCGTTACCCTTTACGTGGAAAACCAGAGCGATGAAAAAATAAACCAAAAACAAGAGCCAACCTCGATGAAAAATTGCAACAAGCCTAACAAAAAAAGGAAACACAAATGTCCGTCCGATTTCTTGGCTCCTCTATGAAATCACGATGCTGTAATTGGAAAAACAAACCCATCGACAGCTTACCAGAAAAAAAAGCAAAAACTCACCAGGCCCTCTTTTTTCTCTTCTTTCTAACATTTACCAATATACGACGCGTCGCTTAACTATCTGATTGGCGGTATCGAAATTTCACATATCGTGCCGGGTACGAAGATTTTAATCAAAATACTGTAACCAGGTACATTTGAAGAAGGAAACAAATATCATAGGCCTGTTACATATTCGTTGGACTGCTAATGCGGTAAGAACAAAACAAAAAAATTCAAATTCATGTACTACTTACGCTCAACTATTTTTACGAGGTGGTTTCCGTGCACAGGGTGTACACGCTTAAATGACTCAAGTGCACGAATTAATTAAAAGAACGTACGGGCGCGATGCAAATTAACGTGAAATCGTACGAAACCTCACCAGTGCGTACGACAACGTAGATATCACTGATTTGGGACCATTACAATTTTGAAAGGGCACTGAAATCACAGACGCGCCAACGTAAAGGGGGTGGGGTGTACGTATACGTGTACTAGGTGTCCCTTGTGCGCTTTCTCTCGTGTGGAACGTAAACATAATCGACCTTTGATGAACTTTTTCTTATATATAATATATACCTATACTAACTAACCGAAAACTATTGTTACCCAATAATCTAAATTTTCGCGCTTTGCTGCCATGCTCTTGATTGTGTCAGCCCTATATATATATGTATATATAAATTTTTTTATCATTTTGGATGCGCTCCGTATGCACTGGCCATTTAATCTAAGTATTTAGATAATGTGTGGATAACTTATTAGTGTGAGAGAGATAACATGTCATACTTTTCCCCTTGTACTTAAATGGCATCTAGGATACCGAGACACTCTTGAAGATTAACTACTGGAGCTTACGGAATGCACTCATTATGTAGCATAAAGTTTTTAACTTCGATTATTTTTAATTCAACCATAACATCATAAAATATTAACACATGTCGTATACTGATGACAATTTATATGGTTACTGTCGAGTTTTTTATTTACTTTTTTTCTTTTCAAACCGAGCACTATACATATATAGTTACACGGTTTTAAAAAAATAGTAAAAAAAATAAATAAAAAAGCGACAGTAATTGATATCAGTATATATACGACATGTCTTAATATTTTATGATATTATGGTTTAATTAAAAATAATCGAAGTTAAAAACTTTATGCTGCATAGTGATAAAAAAAAAATTTTTCTACTATAATTATGCTATCAGTTTTTTTTGGAAATTAGTTTATTTATATTATTATTATTACTTTGTATACGTATAAAAAAATAATTCAAAAATATGAAATTCTAAGACTTTATTAAAAATCTCATCTGATTAAAATTAAAGGCATATTAAATAATTACAATTACATATTATTCAGTAGCCGTTTTTTTAGCACGTATACAAAAAAAGTATATGTTGGACACAAAAGGATTTTTCAAGAGAAAACAAAATAATGAGTAAATACATGAAAGGCTGTTTAAACGAATTATAACTGAAAAAAAATAGTTTTATTATAAATGGACAGATTACAGTATGTAAGTTGATTAATAATGGAAAATTGTATGAAGTTAAAGGAGCGGACGAATGTTTTTCTTGATTTCTCAGAATTTTCACCCTTTGTAAGAAGAAATGAAAAAAAAAGAGAGGAATTTGGTTCGGAAAAACGCAAATAATACAGCAGGACACTGGTTTTCAACAGAAATGTAAAAATAAAAACAAAAAATATGTGCGCACCAGCAAGTCATTCACCACGTCCTACTTACCTTACTTACCTGTAGGTACGGATTGGTGAGCTACTACAACGTAGCAAACTATTCAAACCGAATCCGACCACGTGGGTGACTATAGACTTACGTCATGAGCCGGTGAGCACACATCTCTGAACGACCGCTCACAATTTGGTCTATATATACTAACCAGACTCTATTTTCGCCACATGCGGGAGTAAATCATGCCGCCACGCGGTCGGAGATGCAGTTACACCATCATGCCAGCATTTACAATGCTGCAGTGTCCATCTGTTATCGATAACCAAGTACTTTAACCCCATAACCCTGTACTCTTCAGCCCTTGAACCAAATGACCCAGGGTCGTAGAGTTCAGTTAGTTAATGATTTCATTTTTTTATTAACAATAAAAGCACTTCTTATCATAAAAAAAGGAAATAATTTGTAAATCATTTAAATTAATTTTGTAGGTTTAAAAAGAGTATTGATTATGGATGTAACTTGATTCTAATATTAGTAAACATTATTAGGAAACAAAATTTCTCACTTTTAAGCTTTTAAGCCTCTATCCTCTAACTCCAAGTGATTTTACCCTAGAAAATGACCTATAGGAAGTAGATTATTATTCGATTTAAAAAAAATCCGATTAGGATTCGATTCGATCGGAATTAGATTCTATATGTATAAAATTATACATATAGAATCAATCTTTTATTTATACTAATATTTTAATGACTTGTATATTTTAAGATCACCCGTAAACTGTGTCCTTGTTTGGCTGCACACTCTATACGGGCTGTCGCGAAAAAAACATCATGCCCATCCTCTATGTGCCCGTTAGTTCGTGATTGTAGAAGCGGCAAATCGATCGTGCGTACGTGCAGTGGTTATTCGAGAGAGTAATTTTTGTCGTTTTTTTCCGGATCTATTCATCCCTACAATTAAAGTAAGTAATTTTGGTGTTTTTTGAAGTAATTAATTGCTGGCTATGGCTTTTCAATATATATTTTCCATAAATTTCACCCAGCAATTGTAATTACGGAGTGTGTATAATCGGTTGAGGTTAACTTTTGAAATTTACACTCAATTCCTCGGATGCTGTTTCTCAAAATCTTTACTACTTAAGTAGTTAAACGTTTTTTAAAGCCAAATTTTGCCTATAATAAGTAACAATTGTTACTGTACGAAAGTTGCGTGCTTAGATAAATAATGCACACAAGGCATTTTGTCAACTGAAGCTCGTGTTTACTAGATACGTCTGGCTTAAAACTCAATTGTACCAGAGAAAACCACCGTTTTCCAAGTTTTTCTCTTTGTACACAGATCTCGTTAAAAACAATTATTCGTTATTTCCTGAATACAACAAACGAGCAAACACTTGTATCAAGAAAACTTAATGTCGTCTATTACATTCTTGTCAACTAAATTCTTGGCATTGTATGTATGTATGCAATGACAAGTAATTTTCTGTGTATTTTTTAAAAATGGCACTGATTATTGTGAATTTAAATATCATTTGTTTTTGTGAAACCGTTTGTTACGCTTTAATGTTGATTTTTTTTTTTCTTCCAGGATGTCTGGTCGGGACGGTGGTAAAAAAAAACCCTTGAAGGCTCCAAAAAAAGAATCCAAAGAATTGGATGATGACGACATTGCCTTCCAGCAAAAGTTAAAAGAACAAAAAAAGGCAGAGAGCGAGCTTTCTGATAAGCTCAAGAAGACTAAAGGTCCCCTGGCTGGAGGTGGCATAAAAAAGTCTGGAAAAAAATGATCCGTGCCATTTTGTTTAACCGTTTATCTTGGAACAAGTATTTTACATCTGCCATCAATATTCCCGTTTCACATATACATATTTATGATTATAAAGAACGAATGTTGTATAAATTAATGAATGATTATATTAATTTGTAAGTTATGAAACGTACAGTAAGTTTTTTGAAAAACTATTACTTCAATGACAAGTTAAACACTAAGGCAGAAATTTATTGTGAAAGTTTGACAATTGTTAAAAAATTTATATACTCAAACAAATTGTATATTGAATAATTACTTCATACTACTTACATACAAATAAAACGATTTTGTGACGAAATTGAAAAAATTTTTTTACAAGCACAGTGCTGCCACTGTTGTTAAAATCGAGAACCTTTAACCCATACTCTTTTACCATCGTATATGCATGTGTGGAATGTGGATTGCGCTTATTTGCGCTGTCAAATGTTGAGTTTACACGTTTATAAATAAAAACATATTAGCGAACATTGTCTGTAAATTTGGGAAATAAATAGAAAATCAAAATGAACAGTGTTGTGAGGAGTAGTGTGTTCATGGTAAATAAAAATAATTTGTGTGAGAAATCTGATTTTTTAACAGTTAAATCTAATTATCATGTTTAGGTTAGACCTAATGCAAGGAGAATTTTGACAACTTGCTTAAGAAATGATCAAAAAACGTACGATTTGCATCATCCTGAAGGTCGAGAGCCAAGTATACCTCCATACATTGAAAAAGAAAATGAAAATGTATCAACAAAAAGAGCTCGGTAAATTTATTTTTACTCACGAGTTGTGCTGTTAACGAATGTTGTATTTTTTATTAACATCATAAATTCAGTAAACAAATCAACTTTTAAATTACTGATATAAAGCTAAAAATAATTCTAAAAATCAATACTTGCAACTCATTATTTCATGTAACGTTGTGTGATGAATTCTTATTGTTATCTATGATCATTAACATTTGATAACTTGCAGATTGCTCTACCAATCTCGTAAGCGAGGAATGTTAGAAAATGGTCTTCTTTTAAGCACTTTTGCCAAAAAATACTTGGATAATTTCAACGAAGAACAATTAAAGTTGTATGACCGATTGATAAATCTTCCATCAAACGATTGGGACATATTTTACTGGGCCACAGATGTAAAGCCAGTACCACAAGAATTTCAGAACGAAGTGATGGATTTGCTCAAAAAGCATATAAAAAATGAAAATCGCGAGGCTCGAATCGCACAACCAAGTTTGTAGTAAATTAGTTTGTTGTATGTCGTAGGTAAACTTATGTTTAATGCTGCTCAAGGTATTATGTTAACTAGAACGATAATTTCCACAAATAGAAACAGCGTTCAATTATTTTCAACTGTTAATCTCTCGTAATAAAGTTTATTTATACATATAAAAGTATACAAATGTGCATGACTAACGCGTATTTACACATGAACTATTCACAACAGTTTTTTTTCTTTTTTAAATATTTTTACATCTTTCGATCATAACATAAATCTTTTCAATCATGGTCTCATTTGTACTAGAAATATCAATAAACAAGAAAAAATCGTTGGTAATAGCTAAAAAAAAAAAATTACAGTAACTATTTACAAAAGATTTACGAATCGACCGGGAAATTGTTTGTATTGTTGTTTTTGTGAAAAATCGACGAGACCAGGTCCACGTGCTTTAGACGCTTGGGTTTTACCTCTAGCTTTGCCCCTCGAGGAACCTGTACCAGAGCTACCTCCTCTGCTACTGGCCTTCGATGTCCTACAAACAATAATAAAACGATTATTTAACAGTATACTTGTTCCTCCCTTCAACTAAAACTGAAACTTTATGAACAAAATGAAGCTTCTACCTAGACGAGCTTGCGGTTCGTTTGAACTTTTTGAAGTTGCCACTGCGAAAACCACCCCTCCTTTTTCGACCACGACCCCTACCTCCAGAATGGTTACTTCCAGACTCAGAAAAATCTCCATAATCATCCTCCCCATAGTCTTGGTATGCAGAACTAGCTTCTGAGGCAGAAGCAACTGCCGCAGCCGCCGCTGCTGCTTTCTCTGCCTCCTGTTTTTCGAACAGTAACACTACAACAGACAATAAAATGATCACTGTCGAAATCGGGCTAATATTAACAATCTGGTTGATTCCATAATACAAACCTATTTTTTCTGCGGCATACTTCCGAGTGATGTCAAGCAGAACTTTACCGTACTTGTCGAAATTGGCCTTTGTGACGTGGGGTATTTTAAGCATGTCTTCCTCCGATTCCGGCAGCCTTTGGCTCATAGCTCGCAAAGCTATCATGTTCATGAGGGTACTGGCAGTAACGTCCAAAGCACCAGCGATACCGTTGATAGTCTCCACCAACTCTGTGTAGCACTTCTGCTTGAGTTCATCCATTTCCTTGTCTAGATTTTGGCTATTTTCGTTTGATCCTGGTGCATTTAAGACCGGAGCGGCTGCGGACGAAGACGCAGCCTCCTCTTTTCTTTGTTCCAAAGTAATCTACGAATCAACCCAAAAATAATGATCACCTGTTTTTGTAACAACATTTGTTTGTTAATCATTATTATTTTTTTTAATAACCTTAATGCTATTTGAATTCATAAACTCTGCAGCTTTTCCTCCAAGAGCAATGTAGGCACAAGAAATTTCATTGTTAATGTATAAGTTCTCCTTGAGATAACCATCAACCACGAGCTTGTGCAATAATCTCTCTATATCGTGCTTGGGCCACGATTTTGCTTTACCATAAATAGGATGTTGATCAAGACCTTGAGAAACAAAATTTTTTTTAGTGAGTAACAGAAGAAAAAGTGTCATCGAGCAAGAGTCAGTAGATTAGTATGTTATTAAATACCAGAGTCTCTAATTTTCTTAATGTTACTTCCTTTGTAGATGTCCACGATAAACAAGAGAGTAGCACTGTTGCTCCTATTTTTTGTGACGTCTCTGACTAGCGTAATGAGTTCCTTAGCTTTTACCGTAACATCTTCTGTAATGAATTTTCCCTACAACAAAATTTCAGTTCACGTACAATCCCAACATACCCACGCTTTAGGGGAGAAAACCGAGCACTCACTTGATTCCTACAGTTATCACAAGTGGATTCTTTGCTGGCAATGCACAGCGACCGATCGAACACTTCCCCAAAATAATTGAGCTGCAGGGAACGGCGACAGTCTGTCTTATTTTCACAGAAAGCCACGATCTTGAACAAATTGTCCATGTGTGTTTTTCGCGCGTCCATATTGCAGTTGGCGTCGCCTTCGATGAGCTTCCGGTGTCTCATCATGTCGCTGTAATGGTAATACAAAATACATTGGGCGGCCTCACCGTCCCGTCCGGCGCGACCGCTTTCTTGGTAGTAGCCCTCGATTGACTTGGGAATGGTGGCGTGGACGACAAACCTCACGTTCGGCTTGTCGATGCCCATGCCGAAAGCTATGGTGGCGCAGACAACTTTAATCTGTAGATATGTGAAAAAAAAAAAAAAATTTTAAACTTATTTTATTCACCCATCATGCGACGAAGTGTCAATTACCTGCTCTGAGAGCCACTTTCCCTGTATCTCGATCCTCTTGTTGTCCGCAAGCCCGGCGTGATAACTGAGTGCCTTCAATCCGTTGTGTCTCATGGTTTCTGCGCAAGAATCGCAGTCTTTCCGCGAAAGGCAGTAAACGATGCCGCAGTCATTTTTGAAATTACTCTTTATCAGCGCGATAATATCATCCGTCGTAGTTTTCGTTTTCTTGCTCAACACAACGTAACGTAAATTAGGTCTATTGAAACTTGACATGAACCTATGGAGTAACGTTCAATCGATTAGTTTTTTTTTTCTTCTTCTTTCCATTAATAAATGACAACGAAAGATACCATTTAGGTGAAGTCATGCCCAACTGGTGAAGAATATCAGTCCTTACTCTCGGAGTTGCAGTGGCCGTGAGCGCCATTGTTGGAACTTTGGGATAATTGTTCCTCAATAATTTCAACTTTTTGTAATCGGGCCTGAAATCATGACCCCACTGACTGACACAATGTGCTTCGTCGATCACGAATCTCGACAACAGTCCTCTTTCGTACAAGGCCGTTAGGGCAGAGCATAGTTTTTGTGACGCAGAAATTTTTTCTGGAGTCAAATATAAAAGCTTCAAGTTTGGCTGTTGTTTTGCCAATTCCCTGTACACTATTTGCGTTTCTCCGTCCGACAAGGTACCCGACAAATGTGCTGCTGGAATCTGCAAACACAAACACACAACAGAGATCAATTTAATTAACCAGTTTATTGGCACAAGATAATTTTTTATGGCGAGTTAATGCACAATACTTACATCCAGTGAAATTAGTTTGTGTACTTGATCGATAATCAAGCTTTTCAAGGGTGAAACAACAATAGTTATTCCTGATGTCATTAAAGCTGGCAATTGGTAACACAAAGATTTACCGCCTCCAGTAGGCATCAGGATGAAACAATCAAATCCCAAAATGGCAGCATTTATAGCTTGTAATTGATTTGGCCTAAATTGGTACAGTCCGAACTTTGATCTAAATACCTGGAACAAATTTGTCTTACCATTCACTTATATACTTTTTCCTAGATATAAATAAAATATTGAAAAAGAAAAACTGACACTCATCATTTCTCTAGAATGAGGGTAATTAAAACCATCAAAATCCCCTGATTCTCCGTCATTTTGAAAGTCACCGATAAATTTCGCTTTACCACTGTAAGCTGAGGAGGTGTTTCGAGAATTACTGTTTTCTAGGGGATACTTGTTAGTTTGGGAAGAAGTTACCATATTAAGTTCATCTTTATTTATTTCTGGGAGGTCACACAGTTGTTGAGTCAAGCTTCTTTCCATTCCCTGAGACTTTGGATCATACTTGAACTCTTCATCTACGATGGAATATAATATAAAGTATAGATTACTGTGCAATTATAAAAATTAAATAAAAATTGTGATGTATTACCAAAAGCACTCCATGATGATACTTGGGGAGCCAAATCAGTACTGGAATTTTTTTCCTTCTTTGATCCACTTTTTTTGTTACCATGACTCGGAAAGTCGTCATCGTCGTCATCGTCATCGATGACAATTTTTTCAACGATTTCCGGCTCAGGTCTGATCCAATTTTTGTTGACATTTTCTTGCGACAATTTTTTATCCAACGACATGAAACTGTTCGACTTTGTCAAAACTGGAGATCCAGACGTGTTCTTTATGTTTGCTCCAGGACTGTAGTTGGTAGTTATTTCGAGCTGCTTTTTTTCTATTATCTCTTCAATTTGCTTGCTGGCTACAGGATTGATGGTCGCCTTTACTGGCATCTTCAATTGGAATCTGCTCTTTTTTTGTACTGGAGCTGGTGGGGTTTGGCAAGTGGATGGGTTAATCAACGTTTCTTGCGATTTTGGCGAGGAAGACGTAGATTCTTCCAACGATTTGTCAATGCTTTTGGGTTTTGAATCGGTATATGGAGGTTTAATCTCGTCTGGGGAGTAATCCATTTCTTCTTCCTGATTATTCGTCGACGGATTGAGGCAATCTTGCAACAGGCGTCTATCTTCCTTGTACTGAGATTCACTGATTTTTTCTTGAGAAGTAATAGATTTTAACTGCCTATCGTTTTGACGTATTTTAGCTTTTACTCTGTGATATAGACTTCTCAAACGTTGGCATATTTCAGCATCAAATTGAGGAAAGTGTGACAGAATTTCTATAGGAATTGTATCAAAAGCAACGAAAAATTTTTCTAGTATTTCAATCTGTACATCCTCCAGATCATTTTTGCCTGCTATTAACTCGTCCTTGGAGCCCTGAAAAAAAAAATCATTATAATCAAGTGACCAACGGGAAAAGATATATGTTACAGATTTTTTCATTTACTGTTAGTATTTTGCTCGTAGAAACCAAAGGGTTGTTATTTATTTTTTCTATCCACTTTTTCATGTCACCATTGAAACCCAAAGGCTTCAAGTTTTCAAGCTCAATAATTGTTTTTGAGCTTTCTGCTTTAGCTTCAGGACCAGTAGCGTTGTCAACTTCACAAGGCTTTGATTTCTTGGTCAAAGATTTCATGCTCAAACTATTAATCCTCTGTTTCAATGGAGAAGTGGTCGAGCCAGATGACGATTCTTTGTCAGTTCCAGATTTTTTGGTGGTCTTGACTTTTTTGTGAAACTTTTTGATTTTCTGCTTCTCAAACTCGTCATCATCAGTGGTAGAAGTATTCATTATTTCGTAAAAATTATTATTAGAATTCGACTCCACCTCTGTTGTGACTTTCGCTTCTTCGTTGAGTTCACTCAACTTTGCATTCTCCTTGCGAGTTAGAGAAGGTTTGCAATTCGTTTCTGGATCCGTTGAGTCCCCAACTCCAAGAACAGCATCATTGGGCACATTGCACTCTTTTGAATTATTCTCTTTTTCTTCCCCCAAATTGTCGTTAGCTACCATCAATTCACAGCCACGGGGAGGAAATTTGAGTTTTGGGTTCTTTGGCTCAGCCCTAAATTCTTCCAAGTCATCAACCGAACTATTCTGCAATTAAAAAAACATTTGATTGAGTAACAATTAGCAACACACGGCACACATTGACTTACAATCGATATAACCGAATCAAAATGAGGCAAATTGGCCAGTGCCTTCTTTGGTACGAAAGTGGCAGGAGAGATGGTAACGAACTCTTGTTTGGTCAAATCAATGCGATCGGTGTTTGCAGAATTAGCTGAGATGGTCGACCTGGTATCGGCTTCATCGTCATCGCTGTCACTCAAGATCGCCGAGAATTTTGTTCTGCAAAGAGAGAAAAACCAATTGTCAGCCAAATGCTCGCTTGACAAGTGACAGGTTCAAGTAATCCAAGTCACATATACTCAATGGGTCAAATAATAATAAAAAAATAAAACTCATTACTTGGTGGGAACTTTCTTTCTGAAAAAGCCAGACAACGTTGTCTGGATGCCCTGATTCGAGCCCTTCAACGACATTTCTTTTTCTCTCCCTCGTTATGGCTTTTGAAAATGATAATTTAGATGTACCCCGAGAAATTGTCACAGACTGAGGTTCACACTCTTCGTGCTATCGATGCATTTGGCTTTGTTTACTACTTCAGTTTTTTTACACAGATTTGACACTTTAACAAGACACACCAGAGGTTAACCCTAAAGTGGGCATCCTATGCTTATGTGTAAATACACTACATTGCACGCACTTTCGCTATTTTTTTTTTTTTTTTATCCATCGAAAACAAAAAACGTATGCACCTGTTAACGTATCATTTATTTTCAACTCTCTAAAACCGTGACCTCAGCCCATTGACTAAATATTTTTCATGGTGAAAAATTTTTTTGTTGCCTCGTCGAGTGAGTCTCTCTCGAGAGTACTTACTGGGCGCGCGTTTCTCGAGGACAAGCAAAGATCCAACTTATCGACGAGTGGTTTGGTACTTACCGCGATTTGTGACTTGTGACAATTGGGTCTGATCACTTGTAGTGAATGATCACTGCAAAAATTATCACTAATTATAGAAGTCGTTGTGTATATAACTATATACTGGTACCTATGTACCACACTACCACCAAATTGACGCAAGCGGCGTTACCAGCAACCAATGGAATCACTCACGACACGCAATAAACATATTATTTGTAGTCTTAACCAGTTTGTTCTTGCTGTAACTTGTAAATGTGAGGTTAGTTTGAAAACTAATCAAAAATAATTTAAATAAATAATTTGTAACATTATTGTATTAACAAAAACAAGCATTATTAGGTAAGCCGTGCATAAGTATGTGCGTATACCTGATGAATTAATAAGTTTGATGGTCATTTTGTGATTAAATCAAGGATGGGTTGTGTTATTTTCATCGAAGGATGAGCCAATAATCAACGTTTATTGTTGTTGACGCGAAAAGTGCACTTTAAGTGATATATTTGTTAATTTTGAAAAAAAGTACGAGATTCCACGAGGTTAACATGGCAGATCGTCTGACCCAATTGCAAGATACAATCAATCAGGTTTGTTTTTGTTTGATTGAGCTCTATTTTTTTTCTATGTAAGTTTTACATTTTTTTGTATTTCTGTCTTTGCAGCAAGCAGAGTATTTTTGCAACAGCGTTGGAATCTTGCAGCAGTATTCCACTCCTAGCAAGTTTCCAGGATTCGACAGAATAAACACACCACAGCAGTTAAATCAACCGCAAGAAGGTCATTATTTGTAGCGTTTATCTTTCAATTTGATATCGAATACCGATAGAAATTCAATACTAGAATACTGTTTTTTTTCCTATAACTTGTAGACTATGCTGCTCTGTTTGCAACGCTGATAGCAAGGTGTGCTAAGGACATTGACACGCTCATCGACAGTCTACCCAGCGAGGAATCATCCCAAGAACTGCAGGTGGCAAGTCTCAACAGATTAGAGCAAGAGAACCAAGAGGCAGCCGAAAAACTCGAAGAGGTCGTTAAACAAGGTGAGGCGCTTTTACAGAAAATACAGGCAGCGCTGCAAGACATTGCCCAAAGTCAGCTCGACATGCAAAACCCTACTGCCAATACTGCCATTAGCTCGGCTCAGCCCCTCAACATGAGCAGTATTGGAGGCAATGTAAATATCAACGCTGGGTCCATTCGCACGAAATCCACGTAAATCCTATGTACTGGATATATTATACAGTACAGATAACACCTTGAGTGTGTGTGGGTAGTATCATTATTGTTTACCTGAATATTATAAGCCCAACATCACATATAATGTGGATAATGTTTTCACAACTACGTTTGGCAAGTAAATTAATTCATCTGCATTTGAGACGTGCAAAAAGTGATTTTTATTGAAAAATTTTCATAATCATTAATATTAAATATTCATTTCCGACATAATAATGAACATGACATTTAATTCAAATATAATTGAAAAAAATTTTTATGTTAACAATTACGTCAAACGGTTGAATCAAACACTAACTATAGGTGAATGTATGATAAAATTTGTAAATATAAATTTAGAAACTTTAATGTATTTCATAAAATATAAATAATATTCTCAAAATATTTTTTAATACCAAAAATTAAATTAAGTTCTTTAATGAAAAATAAATTAATAAAGAATTAACAATTGAGTTTCTCAAATAAAATAATTCGTTTGAAAAGAATGTTGTTTCAAGTTTAAAACAAAAAATCGGCATTCCTTGACCTTTAAGATTCATGTACATTTGAATTATAAGTTTTTCATCACAGTTAGTTAATATTATTACAGCCATGTGGATGCAACCGAACCTGCCGTATGCGAGGCACGAGCATGTGATGCTACACAAACTTTATTATCCGTGACACCTTGTTTCAAACAAGGTTCAATACTTATTTCTTTACAATACTCTGCAAGGGCACATGTAACATATAGAGCACCCATACGTTGCTTGGCACTTGGGATGTTGAAAATACAAGTGTATTAAATATTACAAACTCATCAATGAGTACAAAAATTCAACTTCTTAAATCTTAGATTTTGCAGATTCAGTAGATTTAGCGAGATTTTCTACCTCGTAATATTTGGTACAGTTGACTTTTATACAAAAAATTACAGCAAACAAACGTTGTCATTGAATCGATTATAGTCAAGGCTGAAGAACCTCAATTGCGCGCACCTCCCCACAAAAGTCGTGGGTGGTTGCAACGATATTGAAAAAAAAAAAAAATAAATAAATAAATAAGACGACTCAGGCACGCCGAGCCTTACACCAAGCCTTGACCTCCTCGGCAATCCTAATAATATCTTTGGTCCCGGTTCTGCAGCAACCCCCGATATACCTGACCCCAAGGTCCAGCCACTCCTTGACAAACTCCTCTGGCGGATGAAAGTCATTTTCGATCGTCCAGCTGAACGTCTTTTGCGAGTAATTTTCCCCGCTGTTGGGATAAGCCACCATTGGTATGAACTGCCCTATTTCCTTCTCCCCGATGCTCCTCAACAGGGGAGTCACTGCCCGAGAGGCGAGACAGTTGACCCCACACGCAATCACCTGGCCGTTGCCCGCTCTGTAGCACTTGAGCGCGGTTTCCTTGAAATTACTGCCGTCGGCGATGCTCTTTCCGTCTTGCTTGCAAGAAAATGACAGCCAAGTCTTGACGTCTAAAATCGACGGAAAATACAGCCCAAATGAGTATAAAAACCATCATAATCTCAGGTTCAAATTGATGAAGAAAAAAAAACAATACTCACTTGGGTACTGCTTCAACAACTCGACCAGGGCCTCAGCCTCTTTGGCACATGGAATCGTCTCGATGGCCAGCAGGTCGATCCCGTTGGCCACGAGAGTCTCCAGTCTAGGCTTGTGCCACTCGACGATGTCATCCATGGACGCGATGTCCTTGTACGTCGTGCCGGTGTACTCGGAGCAGTCGTGCAGACAAGCGGCGTAAGGCCCGATCGAGCCGGCGATCCAGGGCTCAGCGTTGCTGACGCCGCCACCCGCGACAGCTACCTCGTCCTGGTAAGTGGCGACGGCCCTCTTGGCCTGGACGACGGCGGTACGTATGAGCTCGAGGCTCTCCTGCTCCGTTTTACCAAGGTGCTTGACGAAGCTGCCGACCGAGGCCTGGTAGGTGTTGGTCTCGATCACGTCGGAGCCGGCGCGCAGGAAATCAAGATGCGTGTGGTAAACCGCCTCGGGGTTCGTGGCGAGGAAACGCGACGTCCACAGCGGGTCCCCGTCAATTCGGTCGCCCACGTGGCTCGCCAGTTGCGTCGAGAAGCCGCCGTCCAATATCTTCACTGACATCCTGCCGGTGCTCCTATGTATGTTATATTATTGTGTCTCCCGTTCGCGTGCGCCCGTGCTTTTGGTTGGTCTTTTCACCTGGAGAACTACTTATACTGTGCGCCGTGGAGGACCATTGCTTCAGATTGCCTGCTGACAGAGCTCTGCTGCTGATATGCGCTTTGCGCTCGCGATACCAAGTGTTTCATGTATGCCAGATAATACTGCACAAGTATGGTGTAGCTCTCATACACACGTGTATAATATACCTATATATACGAGGATAATGTTTTTTTTTTTTCCCTGCAGCGCGTTTGATACTAGAAATTTCTGCTATACGTCGATGTATATGGGTCATTTCACGAAAAACCCCGACATTCCTGGAAGTCTACATGTTCGTAAAGAATGATTTAGAGTTGATGTACTTTTTTTTGCTTTGTACACAAATTGTCGAGTCACTTTTTCCTAGTAGGTATACCGTATACGTTTTCGAAATTTAGTCGAAACGACTTGAGATGCAAAAAACACCGTTGCAACGATGCGAGAGCCGCAAGGTCAAAGTGTCACACGACTGTAACGGGAATAATAATTACAAACTGATACATTGACTTTGAAACTTCTTTTCTCTGTGTTATTAAAGATTTAAAAACGTCAAGCACCTGTTCTGGTAGTTGGAAATAGTAAAACAAAATGACGTCGACTTTCAACACTTTTGAATAGCGCGAGACAAGTGATTGAAAATTCAAATTGAAATTCGCGAATTCAGAGCGTTTTTGAGCCGGTAAAATGTAAGCGCTCGATACCGTAATGCAACTAACCTCGGTAGTTGTTACAATTATTGCTGGCTAAAAGTGAACGTAGCAAACTAAATTTCGTTGCCAAACTTTCATTTGGAGCTTCAGAATGACTAAGAATTATTGTTAATTATCTTGTTGAAAAACTCATTTTACACCTCGAATTTCCTCAAAATATCACAGTTTTTGTGAAATGATCCATATTCATGTGTGTAGATACGTCATATTTATAGATAGACAATATGCGCGTCTGTCAGCTGTAGATAAATTACAAAAAAGTCGTTAAAAAGCTTCTAATTAAAAATTCTCAAGTACTTATCAACTAACGATTCCGAACTAAAAAATTTCCATTCGAAATGTCTATTATACTTAAATACTGTGTAGAAAACACTTCAACCTTGAGAATTTTTATTTTATAACCCAGGGAATTTTAAAAATCGAATGATGAATTCTAAAATTCCAGAGAACCGTTGCGATCCAATGCAACGAGTTACAATTTCTCCTCAGTTTTCTATTATTCTTCTAATATTCAAATCAAATGACATGATTTATATTTTTAATAAAAAGTTTTGCAACGATAAATTTTTTTCGAATCAAGTACTTTACATGCATATAATTATAGCTACAAAGAGAACGACGCTCCCGACAATATTGACGCGTATTTCTAATAAACGACCGCATGCTCCTAAGTGACAAATAAAAAATATAGATAATAAGTATATTTTACAGTGTGCATTTTGTTTTGTATTGAAATTCATGTTACAAACAACAAGCGCGGAAGCAACGCTCCCGAGGGCTCTTTTCGCATGATGGCATACAACATATCATTCAAAAAGCTAAGAACCGTTACATAAGATTGTGCGCGCTTTCGTTAAACAAAGCTCGGTCCATTGCAAATTGCAATGTATGAAAATAAGCATACACGGATACGTCGATAGGGAAGAAATCTAGAAGAAGGCAATATACTTGATAAAATTTATAACAACTAAGTACAAGTACCTATTTGGCGTAGACATGAATGTTGAGTACAAACGTTGCACAGCGCAGAGTGCACAGAGAGCGAGAGAAAGTGAGAGTGAAAAAACGCGGGCTTTCTGCTGTTGCTGACACTCCCGACTCTGTTGCAGAACGAAAAGTGTACAAGAATACACGTTTGTTGGATCATTATAAGTAGTCACCGAAACATGCAGGTAAAACTAAAATTGATTGCCGCTGCCTGCGATAACATGGGAATCGGTATCAACGGAGATTTACCATGGCGCTTGAGGTAAGTGCATCGGAACGTGGCCCTATAGTGGCACGTTGTAAGTTTTGAATACTTAAGTAGCAGACCCGTGCACTTCTTAAGTACGCAATTTTTACTCAACTGCGTAAATGTAAGAAGTGCACGGGTCTGCTTCTCAAAACTTGAGATGCGCTACTACGGGGGGAACATACCGATTTCGTCTTGGTGAAAGGATGAATAGCTAAATAACCTCTACATTGTAACAATAGTACAAATGAAAAAGCATATAAAATTATATCGCAAAAAGAAAAAGTGTCTATCTCGCCGCGATGGGAAATCTGAGGAGTGATTATTTAACAAAGAAATTCGTTGCGATTTCTCCAATAGCTTGTTGGCTATCATTTTCGTCTTCATTAGCTGAAGTGCGTTTTAATCGTGGACTCAGGCATTCTTTAATTTATTTCTTTTATATATTTATCTCAAATTTATCAAACAACCTGTGTTTCTTTGTTCAAATGATTTTTCTACGCGGTAAAGAGGTTTTTCATTTGCTCTGCATGCGCGTCGTTTGAGATAAGTGCAAATGTAAGTATAATCTTCGCGTTGATGGTTCTCAAATTAGTCTCGGAGAATTTACGTGACATATGTGACTTGACTCGCGGTTGATAAAATTATGATGAGTTATCAATTTTTTTGATTACGACTCGTATAGTTACCGTTGATCTCTTTTTAATTTAATACGTATCTTTTTCATGTATGTGATAAAATTATTCCACTTTCGAGACTTTTCGATAAAATGGACAATTTGTACAAACTTAACAAGGATATGAAAAAATACTTATTTTAAGTAAAGCCTTTTTCCCCGCACTAGGAAAGAAATGGACTTTTTTACAAAAATGACATCCACTACAAAGGATCCTAACAAACAAAATGTCGTTTTGATGGGTAGAAAAACGTGGGAAAGCATTCCAAAAAAGTACAAGCCACTGGCAAACAGGATTAACGTGGTGCTTTCTTCACAGCCACTGTACGTTACTTTTTGAGTCAATATTGTTGTAAATTACGTATAAAAGACAATTCTGAACTAATTGACGCTTTTAAAGCGATCTTGGAAAAGATGCAATTGCGTGCAACAGTTTACCTGAGGCTATCCAGCAAATATCTCAAGATCACTTGAGAGACAAGGTTGAGCAAGTTTGGGTCATCGGAGGTAGTTCCATCTACCAGGTCAGCCTACAAACATTATACCCTCATGCATATTGCTAAATAAAAATGGTACACCTGATCACACGACATGATTTCAGGCTGCAATGGACTCACCAAACTTTTACAGGCTGTACTTGACAAGAGTAAAGAAGCACTTTGACTGCGACACCTTTTTCCCTGAAATTCCAAAAGACTATGCTCTAGTCAAGTTAGTATTGTCATAACATGAAAACATTTCAACAGCAGCTTATCCTAAAATTGCTGATTTAATTTTTCCCCCAGGGATCCAGAGGTGCCAGAAGGTATCCAAGAAGAAAAGGGAATCAACTTTGAATACGAGGTCTACCAGAAGGCTTGAAGCCTCAAAAAGAAATATGAAATGTATATATACACACTTAATGTACAAAGGTAGATTTGATACTTTGAAATAAAGTTTTATTTTTCTTACGAAATACACGCAACTTTTCACAACACCATTTGCTCGTTACATCAGTATAAAAGATATACACACTTGACTTGCACGAGTGACAAGAGAGAAATTACATTAACCAGGTGGCCACTGCATTTGGCGTCCACCGAGCACGTGCAGGTGAAGGTGATACACAGACTGAGAGCCGTCCTTGCCGTCGTTTATGACGAGACGAAAGCCCTCGTCCAGGCCCTGTTCTTTGGCAAGTCTGCGAGCGACGATCATGAGATGGCCGAGCAGAGCTTCGTCCTTGTCATCGGCCTTTGACAGCTGGGGGATCGGCTTGCGTGGTATCACGAGGAAGTGCTTTGGAGCCTGCGGGTTGACATCTTGGAAGGCTACGCACTGTACACACAATGGGACACAGTTTTAGATATATTTTATAGGTAGGTATATACACCGGCGAAAAAGCTTCGAGGTTATTATGCCGATTAAAACAGTAGTGTGTATAAATATATGTATGTATAGTTGTGCGGAAGCATTGAAAGTCGCGCTATAAGAGAAACGAGAGCCATAAATACCTACCTGATCGTCCTCGTAAATGAAGTTGCAGGGGATCTCCTTGCGGAGTATTTTGCCGAAAATCGTGTCGCCACTGGGAGTCGCGGTTTGGGCCTTCTCCACCTCTGACGCCATTTTTCGAATTGACAACAGCAACAGATGATGATTGCGATGAGTAGTAGCAGAAACTACTGCAGCGGCTGGTCGACCAGCCAAAATTGCGTTGTGGCTCACGTAGGACGAGTACTGATGGCTATTGTGCGGGCAAAGGTTTGCAGCTCTGGTTAATCTGATCACTGGGCCGAGGAGTGTTCTCATTGTTTTCAAGGGACAACCGACATGCCCGTTATACACATGTTATTTAGCGATTGGTAACTCAGCGATTATATAGAGTACAGATAAGATGTATTTTTTACCTGCTGGCGCCAAAACAAAAAAAAAGATACCAGTGTGAGAAAAAGCTTTGATATTCCTGGCCTATGCTTTTTGTTGTTTTTTTTTTTTTTTCTAAAGATTTTGGAGAAAAAAAATACAGTACTATAGGCAGATTGAATCTAATATTTTCCATTGATCATAAACAAATATTTTAAAGTACTTAACTATCAAATAAAAAGCAGGGAGCAATGTCATTTTCAACCTGGCTTTCTGTAGAAACATGTTTTACCTAATATATTTTTAGTTGAACATCAATAAAAACATAACTTACATGCTTGATGAGGCTTGAACAAACCAAAGTCTTTTATGTTATAAGTGTACTTAAAAGTATATTCAATTGATTACAATTTTTTAGTAACTATTTTTTTCTTGAATTATTTTTCTACATGATACTTACAAAAGAATCGTTTTTGTGCGAGATACTTTGCTTTCTAAATGCAAATGTCAAAGAAAGTCTTGTTTCTTATATGAAAGTACAAAATATTTATTTCACTCATAGATACTTATAATACGTGGTCTTAAAAAAAGTGGTGCACAAGATACATCGGAGCATCCGCAATGATTGCATACACAATACAATATAAGACACTTAACATTTAACACTTAAAATACATAATAATAATAATAATAATAATAATAATAATAATAAATAGTACATAAACTATATGCGTATGCTCAATAACGCTTAGTTTTTGTAATTACGGCAGTGGCAACTGGTTTTCTAATGCAAAATCATCTTTACATAACTTATAATGATCCTTAACTCCTATTTTAGGGTAAAAACGCTTGGACTTAAATTTATACGTAATTATCATAACAAAATGATGAAATACACATACCTAGACTTTACAAATTACATCACTATGTTGTGCTTGAATAAAAATATTCGTACTCTTGTACAATATTATTGATTGTTAAAAGGACGCCAAAATACAAAATTGGAATTAAATATCAGTACAAATACTTTCGTAACAAAAACTTCTCATATAAACAAATTTTTTTTTTACCTCACTAATCCTACGATATTTAAACTACTAGTCCTATTAATAGACTCTGTATACATGAAAATTAAGTTATCATTGTACACTTACACACACATTTCATATTATACGGTTGAATACTACAACAAAAATTTTCCAACAATTTCATTGAAAAATTTCTTGCTACGGACGTAGCGCAAACGTAAGCGTAATTAAATGATAAAGTTTTGTACAAGTAGGTGATTGAATAGTAGTGAAGAAAATAAAGAGTTACATTCATTTCAAATTGATGGACATGACTCGACCAAAGATCATCAAGAGCTTTTGTTTTCATCGAAGAAACGATGTTCCAGAGCTTTGCTTGCGGTCACACGTTTGTGCGGATTAAAGGTCAACATTTGTTTAATGAGATCTAATCCTGATTCGTCCAAGTTCGCAATCACCGCTTCTAAAGGCCTTGGCAGTCTGTTTGGAATTGCATCCCAAGTCAGGGACACGTTATCCGGCCACTCTTCTCTAGCTGGTTTTCCAAGGATTCTGTAAACAATTTACGAATAAAATAAACATCTACCAGGTAAAAAGAAAAAAAGATTATCAGTTTGAAGGACAATTACTTGAAAATCGCGTCCAATTGATTCGTCTCGCTGGTACCGGGAAAAAGTGGCCTCATTTCGCACAGTTCAGCAATGACACAGCCAACGGACCATATGTCAATCGGACTGGCGTACGAACAACTTAAAAGCACTTCTGGCGCTCGATACCAGAGTGTAACGACCTGTAATCAAACAAATCATCTACATTGTACACTTGTGGACTCGAAAGCACAAAGTAGCAAAAAATCTTAATTAAGACTCACAAGGGAAGTCAATTTCATCTCAAAGTCGTAATCCTTGGCCAGACCAAAGTCAGCGATTTTAATGTGACCGTCCCTCGTGACCAGCAAATTTTGCGGCTTTATGTCCCTGTGTATGACCCGCTGCATGTGCAGAAAGTCCACTCCCATGAGAATCTCCTGGGACAAGTGTTTGACAGTGTCGAGTGAGCAGCCGCCCCGCGATTTGCAGGCGCTGATGAACGACGCGAGATCCTGCTCGATATGCTCGAACACCAGCCACATCGATAACCTGCCGTTCAACGGTTTCGAGCCTGCGTCCGAAGAGATGGTTTCCATGAAGTTGCCCTGGCACACGTCGAGCAGCCTCACCTGAACGTACAAACGAGAAAATATTAGCACAACGGATACACATGAAATTTATATATTACTTATGTAGATGCAAAAAAAAAAAAGAAAAAAGAGAGAAACTAACCACATGCGGATGCTGGAACTCGTTGAGCTTCCTCAGGGTCGAGATCTCCCGTATGATCCAGGGTGGCATGCCCTCCCTGGACACCGGCACGGGGACTCGCTTAAGAGCCACGACTTGGCCGTTGACGCGGTTCTTCGCCCTGAAGACTTTGCCGTAGGCTCCATCGCCGATCTTGGACAACTCGTGGTACGGTGGGTTGTCGCTTATCTGACTGACGCAGGCCAATGGTGCGACGCCCTCCTTGCCCATCTCACAAGCTTGTGGCTGGTTAACCCCACCTTCCGTCCTCGCTGTTGTGCCGGGGGACGACGCCTTGTTGGCAGCGTCGTCGTCGCCAAAGGACTCGTCCGAGGCCGGCAGCTCCTCGGAGGCTTCGAGCAACAGACTGCCCGGGGTCTTTTCTACTTGCTGCTGTTGGCTCGCGGTGTCGCACACCTGAGTACACTCTACTACGGTGGTGTCGGGACTGGTGCAGCTTGAGGGTGAGGACTCGGCGACGGCTGGTGATGGTGTGGCTGCGCTGCTGCTAAGCTTCGACCGCTTGGCGCTCGGCAAAGGCAGGTCCGTGCTTGAGGGGCGCGCTCTACTAGCCATCACAGCATCGCGACCTCACCTGTTTCATCGACAATCCATTTTTTTCGGTTACAATTGGATTCTCTGCCTAAACTTATTACGTTTTGTTGGAGGTATATAAGAAAGTTAGGATAGACGGCTTTTCCCACGAGTACGCGATCTCGGATCGGTAAAGCGCATGGGGCATTTTTGGCGCAACGGGAGGAGGGGGGGGGGGAGAAAGTTGATATTCGTGTCAACCGACATCTTAAGTGACAAGTTCAAGTCTCGCCGTTTTCGGTTTCTCTGTCTTTACGTTTACGACAACGTGAGTGGGGGATGTGCGCCAACACTTTGAAACAGCGCCACCAACGGGAAGAATATGATAGCACATGTACTTTTTATGGAAAAAATTTTTTTTCAGCATAAAACAGTGAAAAAATTACTGTTGGCTCGACACTTGTTAACAACACTAAAAAAAACTCAACTTAAGTAGTTATAAGAGATTCGTTAATGCCTCAAAAAGTCATGGCCCATAAGAGGCTATGTCACTCAGTTATTCTTATTTTACCCATACAGGTGGCGCTGTTTCAGATTGCTGCACGGAGCGAATAAACATGTAGGATGTCTGCACTGTAAACGCCCGAGCACCTTTGTGATTAATAAAAGAAAGTCATTCATCATTAACTGTCGGAAAGCTGCCAGCGAAAAAGTTGTTACGTTTGGTTTCGAGCATGTCAATGCAAAGTTTCGGATTCAAATAATCAAATGTTCAACTGTACTTATGGACTTTACAAGTGATTTTGTATAAATAAGTACACGACACATACATGACGATTGTTTATTGTTTGGTGAACGTAATAATAATCTGCTGCGCGTGCGTCGTCTTAATATGTATTTTTTGGTACACAATCCTTTTTTTCCTGCAACTATCTGAATTTTGAGTTCAATTAAGTACCCCCTTTTGATAAGACAACGGCGTTATTGAAAATATCAAGTTTTTATCTATTGACCAATTGCAAGTATAAAAAATAAGGTAAGGCTGACGTCACGGCTACAACTTCTCTTTTTTTTCAAGTCTTCAAAACAGTTTTGTATTGTTCCAAACTGCAAGTAAAGCTGTTATCGATTTTTAGATAGTACTGAGTTCAAAAAATAAAAAAAGTCAATTCGTAGGCCCCGTAAGCCGTTAAGAATGGAATTTTTTAATTCGTCGCGTGATGGTAATAACAATTTGGCCTATATTTTTTGCATCCTTAAGTGACCTAAAAAACTATCGAAAACGTGTTTAGCAAAAATTAGTTTTCCTACTTTGTGCGCTTTTTTTCACCGTTGTGCGTTTACTCCGCTCTCGTTAGGGTGAAATTACATGGAGTCTGGCAGTCTGCAGACTGGCAGAATCGCGCTAAGTTTAAAATATGTTTCAATATTAATATTTAAATTCTGTTACGTAAGCAAAGAAATAATTATCGTAATACATTTGCATTTCTGTATTAACTAATATTTATGAAAAAAAAGGCGACGAAAAACGTTTTGTCACAGTTACATATTTTTATACATACCAGGTTACATCAGTGACCCTACTGACCGACTGTGCGATGTTAACATAAATCTAAAAAAAAAGTTATAAAATAATATTTGACACGTTTTATTGTAAATGAAATTGCTTGTAACTAAGCCTTTATTCTGTTATGACAATAATTACAATTTTTTCTTTATTTTACTAAATTATTCTGAGATGTTATAATTTAAACATAATTTAAACTTAGCGCGATTCTGCCAGTCTGCAGACTGCCAGACTCCATGTAATCTCACCCTTACGAAAAATTGAGTTCACACATAGTGCGCATCCCAAGCAAGGTAAGCCAGGAGTCTCTCGTGCCATGTACGAAAACTATTATATTACACTTTTTTCAAAAAGTTCTGTCTCAAAATACTTAATTGTTTTTAAGTGTAGACGTCATTGGAATATCGTAGTTTTTTAAAAATTTATATTGTGCAAATATTTTAAATTTGAGTAGTTCCAGAATTCGTACTTTACACACGATGTGCCGAAAGTAAGCATTTCGTGCACTGTGTATGAATACAAGTGAAAAAAAGTTTTTTTAATTTTTAAACAATTTTTTTTTAAATTATATATAATAACGACATTTTCGAAAAACAATCAAATAAATTGTTTTTCATACATAGCTTCAAACAGTTGTATCAACAACAACAATAATTCGGTGAAAAAACTTCTCATTAAAAAATTTGAATGAAATGTGTGGGCACTTACATATTATGTTATTCGTTGATATTCTTTTTCTCTACAAAATCTCATAAAGTGTAGTAACATGTATGGATGAGTACTAATTGTATCATGTGCAGTATAATTTTTCGTGTTTACTATCTGCTTAAAATGAAATGAACACAAGACTTCGGATAAGAATCGGTAATCGTGAGTAAGCTTCAAGTCATGATTTGTTTTCATGATAAAAAAAATTTATTTAAAATCTTACTATGAATGTTATTGGATACATCCTAATACAAACATTATTTGTTATTTAATTGCCAATTTAGTTGACATAATAGATCCCTGAATAAATTAAAAAAAAATTTCATCATTGCTTGCATTATTTTTATTACTAAAAAAAAAAAAAAAAAATATCGACAGCAGCTTACGTAATAACGTGCACGTATACTCTTGAGACAGGCACAGATCGTCTTCGGCGAAAGGTGGAGTAAAATTTTAGAAAAGGGGAACAACCCGGGACCATCTGCGAGTCAACACCTGCCTCCTCCTCCTCCTCCTCCTTTGCTTGGCAGACACAAAACCGTTTGCAGCGCATTATAACGTGTAAGTAAGTATATACACAGCTTGCAGGGCACGAATTTCTTTTGCGGGGCCCAAAAGCTGTATGTTATACACACATATATACTTACAAACACACGCGCCTTTACAAAAGTATCGAGACAGCTCGAGGCTAAGCTTACTATACGTATGTTTCTTTTTAGTTCTCACAATTTTTTTTTTCTTTATGCACTAATTTTATCATGCAACGTGTTACCAATTGAATCTCTTGATATTTTTTTGATTTATAAATATTTGTAAATTTAGGATTTACCTTTCCTTTGTTCAATGGTTAAATAGTATGGTAAAATGATTTTTTGTGTAATATTTGGTAGAATTAAAAAAAAAAAAAAAAA